ATATTTATTGGACTATAGTTGAGTTGTGATGCTGGTGAAGAATACTGAAAGTAACATGGACTGCCAGTAGAATGAATGAACAAATCATTCCATGACAATTGTCCTGGAAGAAGTGCAGCTGGAATGCTCCTTGGAATCCAGAACTGCCAGGCTTCATCTCACCTACTTGGTAATGTTGTTAGAAGGGACCATTCCCTGGAGAAGGATATCATGCTTGGTGAAGTGGAGGGTCAGAGAAAAAGGGGAAGGCCCTCAACAAGATGGATTAATACAGTGGCTACAACGATGGGCTCAGGTATAGCAAAGATTGTAAGGCTGGCACAGGACCAGGTAGTGTTTTGTTCTGTTGTGCATAGGGTCACCATGAGTTGGAGGTGACTCAACAGCATCTAACAACAACAACAACAACATAGTTTTGCAAGATGTTACCACTGTGATGAACTGGGTAGAGGTTATACAAGAACTCTCTATATTGTTATTTTTTACAACTGCACATGAATCTACAATTATCTCAATAAAATTTTCAATGAAAGAAATGAAGGCAAAAATCAAGATGTTTTCAAATGAATCAAGAAAAAGCTATCAATCCTTTTTTTAGATATGGAAGAAAAAATGTAAATCACCTTGTTCACAATTCCCTATTGGAATTTGGATTGATTTTTACACTGCATTTATAGATTAATTTAGAAAAAATTAGAAAACAAAACAAAACAAAAAACTAACCAGAATTAAAACTGAGGTAGTAAGTTATTTAAATGTATCTTGTACAGTTTTGAGATGATTTTACATACTGATTAATTGGAAGGAGAAAGAAAATGAACATTTATTGAATAATTAAATGCAAGTCATTGCTCTGGGGGCTTACAGACATTTTTCAATTTCATCCCAATGAAGATGGAGATTGTATTCAAATTATTAATGCACTTTATAAATGAAGAAGCCTGAGGCTTAGTGTGGATAATTTCGCAAGGTCACAGAGTGTTGGGATGAACTTACTATGCCTGTTTGACTTACAAGCACATGCTCTTTCCTACTACTTAGAGGCTAAAATACAGACACAAGCACATTTAAGGTACCAGTTCTATTATTGTCTTGTCTGGCTGACTCCTATAGTACCTGTATCCAATATTTAGAAATGTTGAATATAATATTTTTGTACTAATTAGTGTGGATTATTTCAGCTCAGAAAAATATGTTTTAAAATATGTGACAAGTTGGTTTTTAATAAAATATTTCACTAAAAATAGTGCCAGATACTATTAGAAGACTGCAGAGATTTTATTTTATTTTTTAATGAAACAAAAACATCAGTAAGAGGTCTATAATGGCTAACTTTTATTTATTGTTCATTGTGTCAGGCACCATGATAACTAAAAAAAAAAAAAACCTCACTACTGTTGAGTGATTCATAGTGAGCCCTCCTTGGGTTTCCAAGGCAGTATCTTTACGGAAGTAGATTCCCCAATCGTCCTTCCAAGGAGTGGCTGATGGGTTTGAACCAACAGCCATCTGGTTAGCAGTCAAATGCCTTAGGCACCATGCCACCAGAGCTCCCAGGCACTGTGTTAAGCAATTTATATGTGTTATTTAGAATTTCACAACAACCCTATGAGGAATGAACTTTTATTGTCTCCAATTTTACCCATGTGGAAACTGAAGTTAATAAATGCACCAGAGGGTTGGCAATTCAAATGCACCCAGAGGTACCTTGGAAGATAGGCCTCAAAATCTGCTTCCAAAAGGTCATAGCCTTAAAAACTTTATTTTGGATCAGTTCTACTTTGCACACATGGGGTCTCCATGAGTTGGAAATAATTCAGTGACAACCACCAACAATGAACAACAACAGAATAGGCATGGAACCTGGGAATTTTTACTCCAAAGTCATACCTTTAAACCACTAGGCTACAAAGACAAACTAAACAAAAAACCTACCTGTTGGAATAATTTATTTTAGAAGGATCAGCACAAGGTTGGTCCCCATGAGGTGGAGGTTAAAGATGTCCCAAATGTTCAAGTTTTCCAAACTGCTGTACCACTCCATCACTTCTAACATCAACTACTTCTCCTTCCTTAAGTACTTTCTAATCCATCTTTGTTGTTGTGTACCGTCGAGTCACACCTGACTCATAGTGACCCCTCCTTGGGTTTCCGAGGCAGTATCACTACGGAAGTAGGATTGCCCAACCTTCCTTCCGAGGAGTGGCATCTTAGGGTTCCATAATTTGTTGTAATATTCACAGAACTCACGAAACATCAAGGAAACAGCTCACGCAGTTGTGGAGGCTGGCAAGTTCCAAATCTGTGGGTCAGGTGTCAGTCTGGAGGATTCTTTTCACTCACTTGTTTATAGGTGCCAACAAACTAAATAGGCAGGTTAGATGAAGTGCTGCTGGCTCGCAGTGCTGCAGAGACTGGTGAATCAGGTTCCAGGATAGGCTGCTGTCTCAAGGTCCAAGAACCAGAGGTCATATGATAACAAACCAGACACAGGACTCAGGGCAAGAGAGAGAACTTTGCCAGAGCATTCATATGTATTGGATGCAGAGCATACCCTCAAGGAAACGAAGGGTGGTAACTTGAGTCACATCCTCTAGTAAGACAGTGACTCAAGATATATCCTATCCTAATCTTGCCTAATAAACATAATGGACAACTTACTTCACAATGGACCATAACCATAGGTGTAGTATTTACAATACATCACAAATGGAGGACTATGGCTAGAAGGGACATATTAAGTAATTCACTGCATTGCCCTACCAGATGAAAGTCAGAGGGGTGAAGAAAAAAGGAACTTCAACTAAGTCCAAGATCAGTGACCAGAGTCACACTATTTTGTAATGAAATTAGGTAAGTGAATTATATTGTGTGAATTTTGGGGTTTTTAGGTATGTTCAATGATATCTTCAGATCAGTCATCTTCTACCCCTTTTTCTTACTTTATTAATAAACCTTTTACTTACTAATAGTTGAAATTATTATTACTTGTTTATCACTTGCTACACTTTACTAGAACATAAATTCAATAAAAGAATCTAGTGTCTTGTTTATTGCTCTATTTCCAATGTCTCAAGTCGTGCCCAACATTTATGGAATTAATGCATGAACAATATGCCTTCCTTGGACTCAAATAGGAAAAGCTTAGATTTACAAATTGTGGTTCAAAACACAACACATTTTAAAGGCATGAGTTATAAGTTTCCTAGAGCTGCAATAACAAATTACCATAAATTGGGTGGCTTAAAATGACAAAAATGTATCTTCACATAGTTTTGGAGGTTAGAAGTCCAAATTTAGATTCCACGGGAAAATTCTTCTGCTTCTGGTAAACCTAAGTGTCCTTGGCCTTGAAGGGGTAATTCCAATCTCTGCCTTCATCTTCAGATGGCTGCCTTGCCTCTGTGTGTTTTCTGTTTTATAAGGATACCAGTCATATTGGATTTGGCCCAACAGTGTGACCACGTTAGTAATATCTTCAAAGACACTATGCACATTCACAGGATTCAGGGGTTAAAGGTTCAATATATCTTTTTGGCGGTCACCATACAATCCCTAACAACCAGTTACTATATTGATTGCAACTCTGGGCAAGTTTCTTAATCTCTTTATATTTTAGTTACCTTATCCATAAAATTGTTGTTGTTATGTGCCGTCGAGTTGGCCCCGACTCACAGCTACCCCTCCTTGGGTTTCCGAGGCAGTATCACTACGGAAGTAGGATTGCCCAACCTTCCTTCTGAGGAGTGGCTGGTGGGTTTGACCCGCCAGCCGTCTGGTTAGCAGGCAAGTGTCTTAGCCACTATGCTACGGGTAATAATAGTACCTACTCATGGGCTTGCTGTGAAAATGAGCTAAAATATATAAAACATGTTGTATAAGCCACTTAGAACAACGCTTTACACCGAGTAAGCTAAGTGTCTGCTATCTTATGAAAATAGCTTTGACCTCTACCTTTAAAGGGTTTCTGGGGCCCTCAGACCACACTTGGAGAATCACTGTTCTAAGAGTTAAAATTAGTTAATCCTTCTTGAATTGAAAAATAGCCATGAGGTTTCACAGACTGGAGGATGTATTCCAAAGGAAAGATGAACATACGAATATATCGAGTGTTTTCATTAAAAAAAAAACATTCAGAGAATATATAAATATACCACCTTCACCCATCAAAAGAACTAAGGCAGAAATGAGGCTCACCTGTAAGGTATAAAGTATAAGAGAGCGATGAGTACCCTAGGATGGCAGAAGCCGCTGAATAAGAGACAACACAATAGGCTTCAGACATTCCAAGGTGGTTACTTACAAGTAAGGAATCATTCTTAGAGAAAAATTCGGAGGCGTGGTAAAAGGGTTATTGGGAGTTGAGAAGCTGCACCAATCAGATGGGGAAAGGGACAGGAGGAGGGTAAGATGCGGCGAGCTGGAGACGTAGTGGCTGGGGCACTTTAGCTACCTCCCTAAGGCATTTGACCCTAACAGGAAGGCCGGAGGTTCAAACCCACCAGCCACTCCTCGGAAGGAAGGTTAGGCAACCTACTTCGCTTAGTGATACTGCCTTGGAAACCCAAGGAGGGGTCGCTCTGAGTCGGGTCTGACTCCACCGCACATAACAACTCAGCCTAAGGCCGCGGAGTTTCGATTAGGCCAAGGGTTTGGTGGGGATCACAGCTCTTCCCGCAAATGGACGGGATTGAGACTTCCTTTCTCGAGTCACAGGGAGCAAAGAGATGGCGGAGCACGTAGTAAGGGGCAGGACTGGAACTTCAGAAGCCTGAAAGCTGCCCTCCGCCGCTCGCTATGAGAGCCTGCGGCGAAATCGTGGAGGTCGCTAGGGAAGGAGGACATTCTGTTGCTAGGCAACCAATTCTGAGCCCGCCTCTCTCTGTGTTGCTAGGAGACGGCGAGGCCGGGGGGTGGGCGGCGGAGCGGGCCCTACGTGCTGACGCTAATTGTATATGAGCGCGAGCGGCGGGCTCTCGGGTCTTTTTTAGCGCCATCTGCTCGCGGCGCCGCCTCTTGCTCCTCCCGCTGCCGCCCTGAGTCATTCCCTGCGCAGCTCCTGCCGCCTGGCTTCGCGTTTTAGCCGCCGGTAACGGATGGGAGCCTGAAAGGGAAGGGGAAAGTAGAGTCGGCCGGGAGGCCTGCGCGGAAGGGAGGGATGAAGGGACAACTGGGGCCGCCGGCGACAGGCCTCCTTAATCCATTTATCGGCCCCACAGCCTGCGAAGCACCAGGGCCGGCCAGCCCCTCTTACAGGGACGGCTGAGGGGACGCGGTGCTCGGGGCAGCTTGTGGGGTCTCGCAGTTGGCGCGGCCTGTTAGGACCAGTGGCCGCTCCACTCTGCGCCGACGTTGCCAGAGCCCCACCGGCTTATTCGCGCGCACAGGAGCGAGGCCGCGACGGGGCCCTGACCCCCTAAGGAGTGGGCGGCAGCGCCTCTAAGGGAGAAGGAGGCGCCTAGAGTGCGGGTCGGGCCAGGATGCGGAGCCCGCCGCCATGGGCGCCCCCGTTTATGCCTCGAAAATAATTCTCGCAGAGGGGGATGGAAAGAACGGCGGAGGCTGCGAATTCCGACGGGAGGGAGGGGCTGCTTGGGGATGAGGCCCCGAGGCGGGGAGGGGGCGGGGGAGCCTACGAGCCTCCCAGGCTCTCCGCCCCCTGGAGGCGGTGGCGGGGCTGGGAGGGGAAACCCCGGGCGGCTTCCCTCGACACGTGGTAATAAGCTGAGTGGCTGCCGTCTGTGCCTGATTGGAGCCCCCCCACTCTGGGCTGCCCGTACTTTACTGAAAGTTGTAGAGATAGTGGGATGGGAAAATGAATAGTGAGCAAGTAAGTCCAGTCTGTGCGTTTTAAACGGTTTTTTGCTTTTCTTTGCTCTTAATACTTTTATTGATACGGGAGGGAGTTATCACTGTTAGTTGGAGCCTTTTGCTGGGCTTGCTAGGATTTTAAGGAAATGTTAGAGGTTATTAGCCTGAGGTGGTTTTGTGTACCCCAGATACAGAACCTGGATGGATGTTTTCATCAGGGAGTTTTAATTTGGTGAGGAAAAGTTTATCTAATTAAACCCCTAAACTGTTCTAAGATGAAAACTAATTTGGCCTGTCCAAAAAAAACTAAATTCACTGTTATGTAGTCAACTCCGAGTCACAGCGACCCCCTTCGGGAGTAGATCGCCCGATGTTTTGCAGAGCAGCTAGTGAGTTTTGAAGCTCTGACCTGGTTAGCAGCCAAATGTATTCACTACGCCAGCGGAGCTCCTATTCTTCTAGGACTTCCATTGCTTTCTTAGGAGTTCGTTCCTTTATTGACATTCCCGGAATAACATACTAAACTAGCCATTTAGTTTTTAAGGTTAATGAGAGTGGAGCGGGGAGAGGTACGGGATGGAATGAGGTGTTTAATGAAAGTTCATTGAACCAGGTTTGTAGGCCGTTACTTTGTCAATGCCTCAACATCTCCTTAAAGGAAAAAAAAAAAAGTCATAAGCGAAGGGAGGCAGAAATTGAGATCCAACACTTTGAGAGTAAAAATAAGATGAATCAGGCACAGGATGTGTCCACAATGATCTCGCTCCCGATCTTCAGGCCTAAAACGACTACACTTTGAAGTCTCAAACTTGTACTTATTGCTGGTTTCAGGAGAGCAGTAAGATGGAATTTACCGTCTTGGAAACAGGACAGCAAACATCTTTTCAAACTGGTATCTGAGTCCTCGTTTCTCTTCAGCTCAAATTCTTACTTCTGTACTTAATTTATTAAATAAGAAGTCTTTTGTTGAGTAAGGGGAAAACCTTATTTACAAGATAACATTTTAAACTGACAGAAAGAAAGTGAGATTTATAGTGGTTTATAGGGTATTTACTACAGATTACTTGGATCCTAACTTGTGAGGTATTTGAGGTTGTGAGTTCAAATAAATGGTTCTTGTCTAAACTATAATTTAGCTCTAAGAAGACTAATGGTCCTTTGGAGAATAAATGGGGTTAAACGTTGGTAGATAGATTTGGATATCTGTTGTTACTGACTTGATTCTCCTCAGTTCATCGTATTTTTTTAAATTTGGTAAATGGTTTTTAATTTTTCAGCATAGCAGTTTGAAAATCAGTGTACCTATTTGTTTTTTGTGCCCTAATGAGATTGGAGGGCTGTAGCTGAATTAATTTAATCCAAAATATCATTAGTTATTTATCCTGTTTGCTCCTACTGGCTCTAGGTGACAGATTCGATTCTAAATTCCCAGAAATATATTCAGAATAAAAGGGTCCTTTTGTAGAAGGGACTAAAAGGCAGAATCTCCAACTTCAAGGTCTGAATATAATGTCATTCATAATGATCTTACTAACTAGCTTTATAAAGATATTTATGTTTTTCCCCCTTCTTTCCAGTCCCTTATGGCCCACATTAATATGGGGATAATATCATCAGGAGAATGACATCATGCTTGGTAAAGTAGAAAGTCAGCAATAAAGGGGAATCCTCTCAAAGGGATGAGTTGACACAGTGGCTACAATGATGGGCTCAGACAGCAAATACTGTGGGTATGGCATAGAACTGGGCAGTATTTTGTTCTCTTGTACATAGGGTCGCTAAGAGTTGAAACCAACTGGACAGCACCTAATAACAGTACCATCACCCTGTTGAATTGTAGTCTATAATCACATGGCATTTTGTAAGACAAAATTCTGTGTAAGATTAAAGAGCCGAGTGCCTGGAGTGTTACTTGGCGTATAACATGGTAGGCACTCAAGTACTTGTTGAATGAAATAAAATATAATTTGCTTGCTTTGTTCAGTATTACTTCGTTGGAAATTTGAAGTATTAATGAAAGATGGAATTAGAGGGAATGAGTTCTTATCATTATGGAAAACAGTAATTGATCTTGCATCCTCAAGTCTACCCAAATCTATAATTTTTTGTGATCTTAGTTGACCAGCCACTCCTCGGAAGGAAGGTTGGACAATCCTACTTCCGTAGTGATACTGCCTCAGAAACCCAAGGAGGGGTCGCTATGAGTCAGGGCCGACTCGACGGCACATAACAACAACAACAACAAGTTGATTTTTAGAGTAAATATTTGAGCATCTGTTTTGACATATACCCTGGATTTCAGATTATATCATGAGCAAAATAAGGAAATCGGTTGCCTAAATGTATTATAAAATGTCATGTTGTGATGTGTGATATGAAGAAAAAAGAGTAGGGGAACGAGAATAGAAGCAGCGTTTATAACATTCTTTACATTCAAAGGTTTTAATGGTGATTTTCAGTCCCGTTTCAAATTGGTTTGATCTGAATGAGAAGTATTAACTCTTGTCAGGCAGAGTGGGTGCTGGGAGGTGAGAATTTTTGCTCTGCAACCATCCTTGTAGTAGTACACTTACCACTTACCACTAGAGCAAATTACTGGGCTTGCCATAGAAAGTGACTTCTTTCAATACTACATGTTGATTCATTTTTAACCTATTCTGAAGTTTTACACACTTTGGTATTTAATGGAAAAGGAGCCAGTAATATTTTAACGTGCAAATTACTGTGAATTATTTTTAAGGCAATGTATGGAAAACACACAACAGGATAAATAATATAATGGTCATTTCAGTTCCAGTATAATTTTTCTGCTTGTCTTAACTCATTTAATGCTCATAGGAGTAGGTAAGGAGCTCTGGTAGCGTAGTGCCTAAGGCACTTGATTGCTAACCAGAAGGCTGGTGGTTCAAACCCACCAGCCACTCCTTGGAAGGAAGGTTTGGGAAGTCTACTTCTGTAGTGATACTGCCTGGGAAACCCAAGGAGGGGTCGCTATGAGTCGGCACATAACAACAACAAGGAGTAGGTATTTTCAGTATTTTAACAAGGAGGAAACTGAAGCACAGAGAGGTTAAACTTTTCCAAGGGAACATAGCTGAGTGATTTAAGGTGGTATTTCAGGTTTTAATTGACTTTGTACTAGATTTTAAAGGGATTTCTCCTGGTTGATATATATCAGCTTGAGATTCAAAAGCACCTTTAGGTTTTACTATGCTCCAGGCAAAAGCTACTTCATGGTCATAAGATGCTCTTCCTTCATGGAGTTTGCTTACCTATAGTGGACCTGGCTTACCAATATGGTAGTTTGGTAATGGCTTCTTAATCTTAGGTCAGCCTATTATATGTGAGTAAATGTGTAACATTGAATGGCTCTTTGAATTTTCATTAAATGTCAGGGGAGAGTCAAAGGAGGTGCAGCTCATACTTGAGGGCCAGTGAAAGGAGAGATTCATTGAGTATTAGAAGCCAACATTTGCTGGCCATCTGAGGACATGTGTTCTCTCTATGCCAATTGTAATTTGAGAGAGTTGTGGCACCTATTAAAGGTGATAACCTGAAGAGCATAAGAAAAAAAATCGAGATGACTTCAGACTGCAGATTAGGTAACACAAAGTTCTAAGTTCTCTGGGTGGCCCAAATGGTTTATAGTTGACCATTTGAGTGCACCCAGTGGCTCCACAGAACAAAGACCTAGAAGTCTGCTTCTATCAAAGGCACAGCCAAGAAAACGCTACGGATCAGGTCTGTAATGTGGGTCTATCATGAGTTGGAATTGACTCCACCATAGTGTTTTTTTGTTATTGTTTCGTTTAATATTCTTTTATTGCATTAGAAACCTAAGCCCAATGTCCAGGAGGTATGTTTCTTTTTTGTTGGATCAGATAATACCATAGGTATTGAGATCTCTTATACAGAAGACAAGGTATTCTCAAATAGGAGTCCATTTTGCTTGGATGTTTAACATGAGGTCTATTTTATGTTAACTGTCTCTGGTGGCATAGTACCTAAGGCATTTAACTGCTAACCAGAAGACTGGCAGTTCAAACCCCCCATCCACTCCTCGGGAAGAAGGTTGAGCAATCTACTTCTGTAGTGATAACGCTTTGGAAACCCAAGGAGGGGTAGTTATGAGTTGGATCCGACTTGATGGCAGTGGGTTTGGATTTTTTGGTTTGGTTTTATGTCTCTGAAAAGAAAAAAGCCTACAGAAGTATCTATAAAGTCACGTTCGACAAATAAGCCTCTGGACTATTGAAAATGTTATTAGAAAGAACAGCA